CAAAACTAGTAATCAATGAGGAATAATTTATACGAGAATGACGCAGGATCAACAGACTCGACAACCAGTAAAAACTTGTGGTATCATGAAATTAACCCATGGTTACTTTTTTCATTTGTGGCATTGCGGAGAGGAGAATATGAAGCCTAATAATAAAGCGTTCAAACAAGGCTCTTAACGAGGAACAAGGCAAATGATATATTTGGACCCGTTTATGAATTTCAAATGGATCCAACATATAGTTTTTGTCCTCTTTCAATTTACCAATTCATCATTGTTACACATCAAATTAAAAAAAACAACATAAAAACACTCAGCTATCCTCTTTGACAAGGAATCGTGGGGAGTACATCAGTTTCATTGAAATCTGCATTTAGACATTGGAAAGAAATCTGCATTCGGACTGACAAAACCCCACAAATGTCATGTGTTTATTAAAAAATTAAAATCTTTCCGACCGACTGAATGATCAATTTTGAAACAAATACTGTTTATAGGAAGGGCAGAGGATTGACGAAGATCACAAGGCTTAACCAAACAGAGATGAAACAAAAATCATTCTTCCTTTAGAAAAAACAAATATTAGGATCAAACAGATTGTCAGTCAAGCTATGCGTAGTATGTATTTTTGATTTAATTAAAACTTCTAATGTAGTGCACATATCCTGTGTTGAATATCGCAGGTGGCTAGCTTCCAATATCAAATAGATACCTCAGAATTAAGAGTTGAATTACATGTAGCTCACTAGTGATTCATTTTGACGTTGCATAATCAAATACCAAGCGAAATAATGAATCAATTTTTTTTACTTGAACTAGTGTGGCTTGCTCTTTTGAAGGAATAGGCCAATACATTTCTAAAAGTTGAATAGAATGTATGTAATACAGCTTATAAAACATCTAATCCGCTGTGAGCCTTTGTAATGCTGTCATTTGTTTCAATATGATAATGTCTAAAACACTGTGCACGAGAGATGGGAGAGGCGTCAGCAGCGACATTGTCCAGACAGACGTCAATATACATGTCATCTAAGCCTTCACCTCCTATTCAATGATACGTTCTATCACAAAGCATCTTTTTATTTATTTAGATTCTAAAACAATGGGAACATAAATCGATTAATTTGCAAAACAAACCGGACGATCCTTTTCAGTCATACTTTGAACAGAATAAGCTAAATTATATATCTCGTTCTTGGCTCAAGCAAAGTGCCAAATTTCGAACCTAGGTAGCCTTGATGTTGGGGTCAAGAGTCGTCAGGCATTGTAAACAAATGTTAGATGTTGTAATGGCAGGTGACACAACTGGAAGGTTCGTATTTACTATTTAAAACAAGGCAAGTAGACTTGTCTTCAAAGTTCAAACAATGTGCTTGAGTAAGAGACATATTCCTGACCCTTTCTCTGTTGACTATATAATCGAGATTTGATTATCACAGTAATTCAGTGCTTTCTGTTTCTGTTTATTTCTTTTATGACTTGATCTTATTAACGACGTGCAATATGACTGAAAGGAATGGACCGCACAGTATACGAGTTCTACTCAAGGAGTATAACTGAGATAATGGGTGATGTAATTAAACTGACCATGTTAACATTCTGTTTATTTCACAGATGATATATATCGTTTACCAATGCAATTCATTTTAACTTTTGAATAACAACTTCTGCATTTCAAATGGGAACTGTATATTATGTGTGTGTATGGGGGGGGGGGGGGTAGTTCTTAATGTTCTTAATGTTCTTAATTGATAAGTGTAAGCTTTATAATGTCACCGTCACTGCTGATTCAAATCGGGTAGTGATGCAGAAATAGTCGCATGAAGGTCCTGGACCTGCAAGCCTGTTGTTCTCGACCGTGGCGCGATAAAACCCATGCGGGCAATATGTTTCATTGAAAGTAATGGACCGCATTCACAATACATGAGTATATTCTGGCGTGTCCCCACTCAATACAAGAACGTGGATGATATTTGGGCATGTACAAATACACTATTGCTAAAGCCCTGTGAAACTTTGAAATGTAAAAGAGTAGGGGCATTGGGGCAAGTAACAATTTACAGAGGACTGTTATCACCAGCTGCGTTTTGTTTAAATAAAGTGTTCACCTTAGCTTAATATCTCAAACGCAAAATCATCCTACCACCGAACCGTGTTTTCGTGATAAAACGCTTTCCTTGCGTAGTTCGTGTAACAACCGTAGCATGTGTGTATCTCTCGACTTTGAATTTTCTACAACTCAAGCAATGAAACATGTATCTAGCCTCACGAGACTACGAACCTTAGAATGACGAGACAATGGTGAATGCAATTCTCTTGTAGTGTCATTACCAGCAATTATAACGGTTGTAGTGTTGATATGTATTTAGCATTGTTTTAATGATTGTTTTTGTGAAGGAAATATTCGTCATCAGTCATTTCTACAGGATTCCCTTCAGGCAAGGTCTAATATGATTTATTTGGTAACATGCCATTGTTCCCATGCAGGTGTTTTCCTGTGATTTATGTGTTAGAAGAGATGCATTTCATGCGTTTACGTAGGTAACTTTTTTGAACTCGTTGCTTCTTAATAGGCATATTTGCTTCAAAGAGATCGGGGGATTGGTAAAAATGTTCAAAGGTACATCGTTGAAGGTTGACAAAAGCTTGTATCGGGTTAGTCTGTCAACGGGAGAGTCAGAGCGCCTGACAAGCAACTTTGATGTGGAAGAAGTGTGTGCATACTAAAACCCACGAGTCGTTTGAAGCTTAGAGAATGTTAAAGCTCGTCAATTACTTATAATCTGGCCTTTCATTCTGAACTCTGTAGAACTTTAGTGGTTAAATTTGTTTTTAAATTTTGGTTATATATTGGTTGATATTTCAACGGCAAACTCTGTGTTGTCAAGATAAACACTAAATAACAGTAAGCCTTAAGATATACTAATACAGTGGTCAGTGATTCAAAGAAGAGAGTATCAGATTATAAGATTTGGCTCTGAAGTCAAGTGTGTCGTTCGGAGAAATGAAAGGGTTAACCGTTTACCCACAAGCTGGTATGCTTCACAAACACTCATACTGCATGTCTTTTGATTTTTATTAATGGCCTAAATTATGTCAAAATTGATAAATAGCTTTCCTTTTAAGTGGCAAAAACCAATTTGAACTTCTTTTGAAAAACCTAAATTCACAAAGAGTATGGTTTTTGAGGATGTAGTAGGCTTAAAACAAAAGAGGTGATCATGTATGAATCTTAAAAAATTTCAAATTCAGCTTTAGTGATAGGGGTTCAGTGTTAAAGTCATGCTCCATGGATACCTCACAGAAGAAAAACAACATAAAATGTAAGTACGTTTTGTATCTACAACAGTTTACTAGAAAAACATTTATTTATTATTATAATGAGACGATATCATAGAAACTCAAGTCTAAATGACAACAAGTACACCTCACTGACGGCAACCAAACGTAACATGTTGTTACGTGTACATATTGTCGTAATATAAGAGCCGTTTGTTGACTGACATATTATTTTTCTATTTTTTGTCAATTATTACATTACATAATCAACGAGACCTTAATTAATTAAATATATTTATTGGACAAACTAATTAATCCATTACAATAGGACAATAATGACCTAAATTTGTTTACATATACATATCTCAAAATGTCATGTTATTATGTTTATTTTGTAATTAACTCCTCTAATGAAATAAAAATAGTTTCCTTAAATGTCATTCGAGGAAAGAATATGCATCCATATTATCATTGGTCTCGTTTACACAATTCTTTTATGGACCATAACAATACATGTTAAATGTTAGATGTGTTTTAATACGTGTCTACGACTAGTCTACTCTAATCATTTTTAACAATTTCAATTATAACTGTAAGAGCGATACAGCTAACTAACACTTTCAACCTTCATTATTTTGAGTGATATACTATTTCCTTTTTACCCTGATACCTCCTTTGTAACAGTATAAAACCATTACTTATCATTTGTAACAGTATAAACTGTTCATCAAATATACATATAAATACTAAATCTGTATACATGCAAACTACGTTATCCCTACGTCATTCCTCTAATCTATACTTTAAATTTGAGAATGATATACTAAAAGGTACATATGTGTACGATAGCTACTTGTTGGTACCATTGCTAAATGGAGTCAGTCATAAGAGTTCAAGTTGAAAAGTATGGCGAACATGTTATTCTAATTTGAAATATTTCAAACCAAAATAGCTGAAACATTCATGTTTGTATTATAATACTGTGGTTTCTATCTAATATTGTATAATATTTTATTCTCTGCATCTAGCCACGGTAGTTAAAGAATTTCAATAAGGAAACTTACACAGTTTCGATCTACCGACTGTTAATTTTCAACTTGACGTTTAATTTTCTGATTAAGGATTGAAAATCTGCAAATAGCACAGGTAATCTCCAAATATTGTTCTAGTTTCTCGAAGTCGAACTCCACCAGTGTGAATTGAAAGATTATAATGAACAGAGTACCCAACAAGAATATGGATTTTTCTTAATTGTTGTCCTAGGTTTTAATTTTAAACTGGTGAAAATACCTTGGAAATGCAGATATCATGTGGTATCTATGTGGTATACGGACGCACATGTAGATAGCAGAATATGAATGAAATAATTACGTATATATACAATGATCATAATTTTATAAATACATCTATCTGGATTTCTGTACTGTTTCATGTTATGTTAAATAAACAAGAATTGTTTTTTAATCACCCACTAAGTCTCCAATATGGTTACATGCAAGTTTCTGATATAAATATACAGTGATTATGTCATGTTTGGTATCTGTCACTAAATGTGGCAAGATAGCGGCACCCCTGGTGCCTCTGCAGTGACAGCGCGGACCATTGCTAGTGTGATCTCATCAGCGCTACAGTGGTGAACAAACATGGATTTTAGCGATCAATCAAATGCGGTTTGACGAGTCATGATTAAAAAGTCAATGTATAAGATCTAGGAGATGCTTGGTGCTCATAGATGTGTCAGCTTTGTGTTATAGTCCTGCTGCTGCTGTTGTTGCTGCTGGGAATACGAGACCTGAGATGTGTTGTAAGTGGAAGGGGCAACCGAGCAGGAATTCATGGATGACTGCTTTGGCGGATGACTAAGTGGTTGAGTACCCCTGGAGTTGTTATATGACTGTCCCAAGGAGGCTCCCACAGGAGTACTTGGCTGCCCCATAGGACCACTCGCAGGCTGGCCAAGTGGGGACTGACCCTGGTCTAATCCAACCCCAGTGTTATTTTGAGATCTGTTTTGATCAATGTCAACCGGTAAAGACATACCGTTACCCATGTTGCCAATATCAATACTGACTTGCTGTTGATTGCCCATTGAGTTGTTGCTTTGGATTACACACGACTGATTTATGTTCCCAGGGGGCAATGCCTGGCAATTAGAGTCAGACGGGGGTAACTGGGTAATCTGTCCTCCTCCGTTACAATCATTCATACCAGAAGGTGACGACAGTGGCGACATCTCATTGTCACTGTCGCATTCAGGTGACATTTCAGCGCCCCCTGTCGACTTTTGTTTCTGCTCTTTCTTGTATTTCATGCGTCTGTTTTGGAACCAGATCTTGATTTGTCGCTCGCTAAGGTTTAGCATGGCTGCCATCTCTATCCGCCTGGGGCGACAGAGGTAACGATTGAAGTGGAATTCTTTCTCCAGCTCCACAAGTTGGGCACTGGTGTAGGCCGTTCGAGCACGCTTCGTTGGTTGTTCGAATTCTGGAAAACACAAAGAAAAAACCTTGTTAAAGTCAAAATCATGACAACATTTTCTTGCACAAACAATTGTATTAAATCATACATCGAGTAAACATCTTTATAAACACATTTGGCATTTAGGAAGGGTGGGGGAAGGGATAGAAGTTTGTACAACACTTGCATTCCAGATGTATAATTAAAACATCACATAATATCACATCATATAATATGCATGTATAAGAGAATCACTACCAAAGTTTTACCAAGAGTCAAACTGTTACAATTAAAAGGGCAAGGCCAATGACATTTCGAATTTGTCGTTCAGTGCATTAAGTACGAAAAGACACGAGCCCACCCGTATGAACTAATATATTTCAATAGGTTTAAAGATGCACACGTTCGACTTTTCTTAATTGCTATTTATTATGCTGACTTTGATATTGTTTTATTTTTAATTGATGTTAACGTCATGTACTCCACTGCACCAGGTTCGAATATAAAACCCGACAGCAGTATGATAGTATGTAGTAACCATACATTTTAAATGTCTGGACGATGTTGTGATTGTCGTATTTAGCATCACAATAGATCGTATCTTTGTGAAGAATCAACCTGTTTCCTGCAAGCTGCCTCTTTCTAAACCACCTCCTATTGTATTAGTCCGCCATTGTTTCATTTCATACTTCATTTTTTAACAAAACATATCCAGTATATCTGAATGGATGTTGCCTTTGATGTTATGAGATCAAAGGCATTACCTGTCGCGCCCAGGTAGTATGAGATACAGGAGATGCACAATAGATTAAACAACATTCATGTAAATCCATTAAAAGATCTTTGGGATAACTCATATCTCAGCTAAGTAAAAATTAAAATGTCATATCTGTAATTTTTTCTTTTATAACTTTAGTACAGTATCTTTGCTCTTGATTTGAAGTTGTCAGTTTTATAAACAAAACTATTTTATTGATAGAAGTGTCCAACAATAAAATCATGAGAGCTCTAACAAAACACCTCCCTGGTTCAGGATTCCAAATACAAATAATCTTCCATCACCCTTCGACAATTATCATCGAAAATCACGATGCTATTTCATACATTTCATGTTTAAAATGGAGTTAAAAATAATTTGCTTTGAAATTATTTTCAAAATTATTTGAAATGAGAGAGACATCTTTCTTCATTTTTCTGCACTACATTTTCGAACAATATTCGCCCCGTACGTTCCAACATCCGAAGTTATTTTAGTCAATTTTCGACATTCAAGGCCCATCCTACAAGACATTGTTTGATAACGTATAGCCGATATGAATAATGTAAAAGCTATTATTTGCGTTATGTCTTTATTGTTAACAGTTAATACTGAGTTGATTACATGCCCTGGATGCTTTTGGAAGATGTTTTTATCATTATATTTGCATGCTTTTTGTTATAAGAGCATTGCTAATAGATTACAATCTTGTACCTGGGCAGAAGTCAAATTAAGAAAAAACTAAAATAGTAATTGTATTGTTGTGTAAACAATAAAACTCAGAGGGAGGTTTTGCAAATAAAGATTTGCATAAAAAGGTGACGAGGATTGCAAAAATCTGAAAACCATCCATCATCTCAGAACGTGAGTAAGATGACGTGACGTGGGGCAAGGGGTACGCAAACAACGCTCTCTTAACACACAGCTGACTTCAAGAGACCAAAATGTATTTTGAATGTTTTAGAACATTGTACTGTGAAACATGAAGATTTTGTGGTTTTTAAATAATAATTGAACCAACAGGCGCTCAAGACAATGAAACTAACTGAATTTAAAAAGCTCATCAACTTAAGGATCTAGGGACGATCACTTAGCTTGATTAAAAGTGTGAATATTATTTACGTCATTATTATTTGATAACACCTACTCAAAAAGCCACGCATCAGTTCAATATAGCTTTTTTAATTTTGTTTTTAATCGTCGAGAATAATTACAACATGTCACATTTCAGCATCATCACTAACACGGCTCCTTTGATCTATTCGGGATGAAAAATGAATTGAATTGGAACTAAAAAATCTATGTTTATATTATTGTGTAGTGTTACAGATGAAATAAATGAAATGGAAATGCATAAAAATTAGGTAGACAATAGCAAGCATCCAACAGAACGATGCTTCTATTCTATAAAATGTTTTCAGGTTGGCTGACTACCTATCATTTAATCAACAAAAAATGTTTTTTTTATCTTTTCATTACTTTAGAGCGAGTCAAAAGTCAAGCGTGTCAGTGCACTTTAACAAACATAGCACTTTGATGTTTGATATCGTGCAGTAGGTTTAAAATAGTAGTGTTACAACATGTGTAAACTCGGACATTTCCGGACATTATTCATGCTTTGTAACTTCTAGATCTAATCCATGCTAACATCAGATTATTTATGAACCAACAGAATACATATTTGAAGTTGATTTATAAATTCCCATCAGGCAAGTCCTAAACAAAAACAACTCGGCATTTTCACAAAACAAGTCATAAAAACACAATATAACAATTATATGAACCTAAACGATCAATCAAAATATTTTTTACCAAATGATATTTTTAAAAAGGAAGTTGTAAAGATGATGTCATTTGATGATAAGATTCCAAAGTGAAATCCAACCTGAATTTGCCCCATGTGAAGTGACGTTTGGTTCTGACAGGAGAGGTACAGATCATAGCGGTACCAGTCACTGGCAGTGCGATGTGAATGTCACACTAACGCATGATTGATGCGATGACAGAGCGCCTAAGAAATGTTTTGCAGGGTACCCGGAAATGAAATATCCAGCTAAAATGGAAGCTATGAATATAATTACGTTCATTAGCAAGATATAGGAAGAATAACAATAACCGACTGCATCTTAAATTGAATGCAGTGGTTGATATGGCAACGTAGAAACAAATGACTACCAATGCACTCTGGTGGTGGAACTATGAGTTAAAAGTATGTTAACTTTTTCCATTTTGAAAAGTTTTAAACTTTCCATTAAAGTGACTATTTATACCGAGTATGATATTTTACTTACCAGATATTGCCTGTATTCTTTGTTTGGAGTTTTGTCTCGATTCCTTCATCCACGGATACACCTCTTGGTGCGCCTTTGTGTAGATCGGAGAGTTCGGGGGGAGTGGTGACCCGGGCATATGGTATGGATTAGGGCCCATGTTCTGCATACACGAGCTAGGGTGTATATAAGAGTTCTGATAGTCAATCTGTCCTACTGTATTCACCATCGGATTTTGCATGACACAGGACGATCTGTAGTTATCGTTCGTTGCTTGGTACTGAGGCGCTGACTCGTAGGAGTAGGCATTCGGATAATAGCCCTGATACTGCTGTCCAGCGGAAGAGTCGTACTGGTATGCTTTTCCCATTTCTCGCATGTCGAAACTGACTTCATTCTGGCACGTCATTGACATGATGTTCTGTCAGCATTCCAGGTATCACCGTCACGTGGGATGCGGGCCAATCACTGGGTCTACCTGGCCTGGAAATACAAATACTATTAGATAAGCTTACATGTCATCAGAAAACACATGCACATGAGATACATATCAATATAATTGAACAGGAATCTACCCTTTGATGTTGTTGACCTGATGCGACCACCTACAAGAACCTCTCCATAACCGTATAGGTCATGTATATACGTCCCTACGTTTCCCCTCGGGGAGATTCACTTTTAACAACACAAATTACTCTTTTATAATTGCAGTGTCTAGTTCCAAGATAATATGTAGCAATATATCAGCTTCCACATCTGATAAAAAATACACACGATATACCTGTATCTTTTTACACCTGGCAAACATATCTACATCAATTATCAACAACTAATGACGTTGAAAATAAAACGTAATTATTGATAGATCACCTGTTTAAAATCCTATATATTACTTACAAAAGTATTGTGTATTTTTATATCCGTGAAAAGAATCCCAAAAAATGTCAAAGTCTCCTGGGTTTTTCTTTGCTTCTTCACCTGACTTGACCAGTATAAAAGTGACTCAACAGATATGTACACTGATACACTATGCACTAATAGCCATATAATTGACCACCCCCAAAATTGACATGAGATAGATAATGCGACACTATGCAAATATGCCAGAAGACCGTGACAATAGGGGTATTGTAGGTGCGCATCTCTGAATAGAACCGATATAATAGCTCAAGGCATCACATAAGGGTGAAAGAGCGAGTATGCTAATCCGACTGAATAATAATTCTTGATGACATGTTCATAAAAATCTTGATATATAGGCATTACGTAACCCATGCCTTACACCAAGTATCTACCCCTCCCGCAGTATATCCAGAAATGCAATATATGCTTTGGGAGGGGGTTCAGAATAGATTTGTAGTGATCAATTGATCAATGAATCAGAGACCCTAACTATCTATTGAGCGTTTTCCATATTCGTTGGGGGAGAGGGGGGGGGACATGGTAATGATTTGAGAAACACATTCTGCTTGTCAGTGCCTATAGTACATGTAGATAAAGCTCTCTTTTCTAAAGAAGCAAGATCGGACTTTTGGAAAGGGTACCTACAGGAAACGTCATTCTTATCATAAATCTGCCACTTGTTAGTGCTGAGAGAGTAAACCACGACCATTATCATACACTTGCAGAATGTCATTTGGGAATATTTATTTTAGAACATATTTTTTGAACTTTTACAGAATTTCATTTGGGGATATTCATTTTCAGAATGAAGCAATGGCTGTGTCAAAAATATGTTCGAAAAATAAATGTCCCCATATAATGAAATAATTGAAAATAACAGGTGTATTTCGTGGCAATTTTATTATAAACCGTGGGGCATTAGATGTAATTGTGATCTGTCTTTACCACACTTCGAATACTCTCTTTAGATGCTGCAAACACTGTCAATACCAAGTGTGAGTATATATGATTGATATCATACCCTTTGGGCAATGTAGACCCGGGAAATTTTGTTTTCCAAGCCTTTTCATGAGTTTGGCAGCAACTTTTGCATTCTCATTTCATCTTTTGTTTATTTGACGAAAGAGATTCATTCATCTTTTGTTTATTACATGTTTATGATAGGTTGAGAATAATGAGTTTATAATTGTTGAAATGTACAATTCACTATATGGAAATAAGGAAGCATCAATAACCATATAACTGACCAAGAATTGTGTAATTCACCAGGGTCTTTGAGCCTCGAGCTGACGTTCTCATGAGTGTGAATTTTAGATGAGTTATCTCAAAAACTTCCCATCTCTGATCTGATAGACTTCTCCTGAAAGTCATTATGTTTACTGTCTAGCTAAAAGCCATTGCGAGCCCCCCATATACATGTATACATGTATTGTGTTGGTGAAGTAGATGGGGGGAGGGGGGGGGGTTATATGTTATGTAGCAAGATTACATATTTGCTAAAACATGTGTTAGATGTTTTTTGTGACACTCTGCTACACTCCCCTCAATAAGTTTGGCAACTGGAAGTCTTTGAATGTTTCTTGTTGCCAAACTTATTAAAGGGAGTGTATATTAACTTATCTTCGTGCTTTCCAAAGAAAGGCGTCGAGAAGTTGGTATGAGTGTGTGTATGTGTGTGTTGGTGGGGGGGGGGAGTTGTAGGAGGGGAGGGGGGGGGGGGGGTGCTGAGTACTAGAAACAAAACAATTAAGATACCCTTTATTAATCAAGGTCACTTAAATAAATCGTGGGAGTTAAACAATAGAGGATGGAAGCATAGTTTACAAGGGGATGGTGTGAAACTTGGTCATTTTCTCAGAAGGATGAGAAGTGAGGGAAGGGGGTCATGGTGTGTGTCAATGGGTGGGCGCATAATGTGTTTCTACCTTTGCCTAATATCATAAACAAATCACTGTATCATGAGGAATTACTTGTTCAGCATTCTCCCATATGTTATTTATTCTACTCCATTTTAAATGAATTGTTTAAACTTAGAATAAAGAGCATCGGGAGAGGAGTTACTAGTGTCCCATTTGTCTTGCTATCGAGAATGCCAGCTCCTATGAAATCCCTTATATCAAAGCCAATGGTCGACGAGAGGCTCTTTCAGTAATAATGGACTTAAATTAAATTCTACTTCTCAATTGTCTAATCTAAGGATGAGCTATGACTTTTTCTGACTAGTGACATTTGTCAGGATTTAGCGATGCAACATCGTTTGAGACATCGCAGAAGTCTCTTTTCATGCGGTGGTTTACGGAACATTCAGGTTAATTCATCTAAAAAGCTTTCAGGAAGATTATTACTTGCACAAAGCCATCGCTTCTGACGACAATGAGACCGCAAATTAGACTCTGGAAATGATATCTTAATAAGGATTTTAATATTTTCCTCCAAATGAAATAGGCAACTTTTGTATATTCAGAAATTCAATTTCAATGCTGTCAGTTTGAACGTGTACAATTCCAGCAATAGATATTAAAAACTTTTGGTTTCTGACTTCTAGTCAAAATAATGTTTTAATATAATTTGATGAGAAATGTGGAATGAGGATGGGGGCTTTCGAAAGCTGATATCTTCATAAGTTTGCAGATTTAATTTAGTTCATTTTATTAATGTTTTTTTTTAATTTCGAATATTGCCCTTGTGTTTTCTTATAAACGCTGAGAGAGTTATTATATATGATTACGAGTATCCCTCAAAATGTTCCATACCAACCTACCCAACTCATGAAGGCATTATTTAAGTTTCCTAAAATGAAATACTTGAAATACTTTGATAAAATATGACGTCTAAAAAGGTGCACGATGATTGGGAATGATGGGGCACAATGTAAAATATTTTAGAGATGAAGAATATGCCTTAATATCCATTTAAAGAAAACAAACAATAAAGTTTCAATTATGTCTTGATACCCTCATACCTTCAACTACTCTCCACGCAAGCGATCAGCTGGCTCATTGACCTACACTTCTGCTATAAACGAGATATTTATATCCACGGATTGCAATTATTTCTACATAAAAGTCAGTGTTTTAAGATTAATGGCCCCATTTCAAGGCCATGGTAAATCTGAATCATTCGTAGTACTACGGAATGCGTTCCAGGTCGTAGACATGTTGATAAAGGGCAAAGGACTCGTTAACATTGTAAAAAACAATTAGATGAGACCAGTGTTTTAAATACAGTTAGTACATCATCAAATTGCTTTATTATACTTTAAACACGATGAATGATGTCTCTACCATTTAGCAATTTAAAAACAAAATGTTTTTACAACTACATTTTTGAAAAGGCGTTAAATATCGAGACAATCAATTACAAAAATCTAAAAAATGCAGTTAGTAAACAATCAACTATTTGCTTGTATTATGTTACATGCTCCACATTGTTTTGCCTTTGAGTTTCTCAATAATTTTTCTACTTTTGCGAGCATGGTGAACCGCTGTATGCAATTTATAGATATACCCGAAAATGCACAGAGTTAGATGATTGCGTAGTTATGTGGTTTTGGTATAAAGTTCCAGATTAGACATAAAGATATTAAAGAAAAGGTTTGGCTGACAAAGTTTGATAAATGAGACCTGCTTCTTGTGAATGGTTGTGGTAGATTAGAGAAAGGAGTCACAATGTGGCATTAAACCATAAGAAATGAAACTGCAAATAAATAATTTGGCATGAGAATTAACAGAATACTAATACTGTAAGTCAGATACCGGCGTCTTCATGATAATAAACCCTTGGTGTGTTCGTCGGGGAAATAGATAGTATAGGGGATAAAGATTAAATAAAATCTAAACCTTTGCTGCAATTGAAATGTTTAAATCCACATAGATTACCGAGAGAAATCTTTGGAATCAGACACAGAATAGAAGAACAATACCCGTAATGGTTGTGACTAACACGTAATGCGGACAGAATAATAAACATTTCGTGACTCCATCAATATGGTCGGTCAATCAAATGTGAAGTCAGTTCAACTGAGATATATTTCCAAGATATAGTTACTGACAGATGCAGTCCCAGGGAAGGTAACATAACAAACATTGCACAACCCCTATGACTGTTATATGACCCTATCCATGCACAGGCTACACAAATCAAAGTATTACACCCTGCCTACAATGTCAATTTCACTCTTATATACACTTAGATTCGACTTTTTACAATTTTATTTTATTTTTTTCAGGTATACCATTTAGATGGGTCTTGTCTCACGATTCTTAGATCAATTTGCGCCTTAACTTTGCCTTAACAAATCATATCCGAATAATTTCCCAATTCAGCAAAAATGGATGACACTACTATAGTAAAACTTTTGCTATGTTATACATGTGTTATTGTCAATAACTCGAGTCACAAAAATACAGCAACTATTCCGTTTCACTGTTCATCTTTACCAGCATCTACCCAAAAATAATTGATGCTGTCAGCACGTCGGTTTTCAGTGAACATCTAAAACACATGTTATACTTCAAAACACGGTTTTCCAATCCAGTTAGCTAGCAAACATCTTACAACAGATGCTCATTAAATTATGC